GGAACTTTTAGATATAAATATATATATATAAATATATGGGATGAGATTAACAGCAGATAAGACATTGAAGAATAAAAAGTAAACTTGGTCCTGGCTGGTTTGCTCAGCGGTTAGAGTGTTGGCCTGCGGTCCAGAGAGACCCGGGTTCGGTTCCCGCTAAGGGCACGTACCTCGTTTGCAGTTTGTCCCCAGCCCCGGTTGGTCGTGCAGGTGGCAGCCACTCGATGTGTACTTTTCACATCAATGTTTCTCTCTCTCTCCCTCCCACTCTACCTGAACAAAAAAAGGAAAAATGTCCTCGGGTGAGGATGGAAAAAAAAGTAAACTTGAAGACAGAGCAATAGAAACTATCCAAGAGGAAGTAGGCGGGGTTGGGGGGGGTGAGGTGGGGGGTGGTGGTGAATGGGGAAGGATGAGAAAAGACCATTAGAAACTTGTGGAACAAAATTAAATGGTCTAACATATGTGTAATTGGAATCCAACGGGATGGAGAAGGGAGAAAAAATTATCAAGAAATACTGGTCAAAATGTTCTAAATTTGATGAAAATTTGTATATCCACAGATGCAAGCAGAATCAACCTTAATAAATGACTTAAAGGAACACTATAAACAAAGTGCTGGAAACTAGTAGAAAAGAAAATAATTTTAGAGCAGCATCAGAACAAAAGCCATAATATTATGTACAGAGGAACAAAGATAAGAATGAGTCCTTACTTCACGTCAGGAATCATGCAAACCAGAAGTCAATGGAACAATATTGTTAAGTGCTGATAGAAAATATACTGTCAACCTAAAATTCTTTATCCAGCGAAACTATCTTTCAAAATTGAAGGCTAGATAAAAATTAGTTTCAAAGAAAGCTGAGAGAATTAATTGCCAGCAGATTTGCACTATGTTAAAAAATCTTCTTTAAGCAGAAGAAAAATGATACAAGATGGAAATAAGGATCTACACAAATAAGTTTAGTTCACTGAAAATTATAAATATATGGGTGAAAAGACTCACCTTTATTCTCTTTAAGGTATAATTTACTATTTAAAGCAAAAGTAAATATGATGTACTATGGCATTTAAAACAAAAGAAGAAGTAAAATGCATGAGAACAAAAGCACAAAAATAGTAAGGGGAAAATAAAGTAGTAGGAGGAGAAAAATGAAATCTGCTACAAGATTCTTACACTATGTACTACACACACACACACACACACACACACACACTACATATAAACAATGTATATAAATATACTGTTATAGCATTTGAAGGTAAACGATGATAAAGACATATTTTAAAATAATAGTGATGGGTCATTCTTTTCAATTCCGTTTCTTAGTTTCCACACCTGCTGTGAGATCAGTCAATTTTGAAATGAAAACAGGCATCGAAGACTTCCTCTTTTGTCTGAAATCTCGTCATTAGATAAATTTAGCACTCCTTGCTTGCTAGTTTTTACAAGGGTAAAGTTTTCTGATATTGGTTTGACCAATGCTTGTGTAACCTTTAGAAAATATCAAATCAAAGACCAAAAAGTTTATGACTGTGAAATAAAAGTCAATTAAGTCAGAAAAAATATAAAATTGAAACTTTAGTTTCAAGACAATTGACATGTCACTGTCAACAATACATCTTAGAAATGACTGCATTTTTTTTTTTTTTTTTAAAGAGGAGCATCCCAGTAACGGCACAATTATTTATATGGAATGAACTCTCCTGCAGATAACAATTATATACTGAAGGGCAGCCAAAAGGCAGCAGAAACTGTAGATTTAGCATTTGAAAGAAGGAAGCTACATGAGGTAAGATATATTTATGTTTAATAGGCTTTGTTGCTGAGAGTATTCCTGAATCTTTGTAGTACCACAGTACCTGAAGTCTAGAACTGAAAGGGAAAAGCTAAGACTTATTGACATGAGCAGTCAAAAAGGGAATTTGGGACTACCAGAGTGGTTGAAAATCTAGGATAGGAGGAAATTCCAGAAAAGAGGGAGCTATAGCAGGTGAAACCCCAAATAAAATGACCTTCAAATTCACAACTCCCTCTTTTTAAAATTTTATTTTTATTAAAAATTTTTCCAGTTTTGTTGATATAATTGACATACAACATTGTATTAGTTTAAGGTATACAATGTAATGATTTGATGTATGTATACATAGTGAAATGATTGCCACAATGAGTTTATTTAATATTCATCACCTCACAGTTACAATGTTTTCTTGTTATGAAAACTTTTAAGATATAAGTTTTTAGCAACATTCAAATATACAGTACAGTATTGTTAACTAAAGTAACCATGCTATATACATTACACCCAGAACTTATTCATCTTATAACTGCAAGTTTTTACCTTTTGATGACCTTCCCTCATCAATTCCCTTATATGTGGAATTTTAAAAATCATACAGTATTTTTCTGTCTCATTTCACTTAGTATAATGCCCTCAAGGTCTATTCATGTTGTCACAAATGGCAGCATTTCCTTCTGAATAATATTCCATTGTGGGGTGTGTGTGTGTGTGTGTGTCTACGTGCACACACATGTGTACGCTGCATTTTATTTATTCAGTCATCTGTCGATGGACATTTAGATTGGGTCCAAGTATTGGCTAGTGAAACTAATGCTGCAGTGACCATGGGGTGCAAATATCTCTTCAAGATAGTGATTTTGTTTCCTTCAGATAGATATCCATAAGTGGACTTGCTGGGTCATAACGTTAGATCTTTTTAAAAATTTTTGAAGAAATGCCCTACTGTCTTTTAACAGTGGCTGAGCCGATTTACATTTCCACCAACAGTATACAACTTGTCAGCTTGCATGGATAGCGAAACCTCAGCTCCTTCTCAGACCTTAAAAGTAATTTTAGACTAGTGTAATTTCATATGTACTGGTCACTGGGCTTTTCAAAGTGAACAAAGTATACACCTATGACATAGAGTAAGATTTTAATAAACAAGTAAATGTGTTGTTTTGACTAAATGCAATTTACTATATCATTATAGTATAGCAATTAAGTTATATGCATAGATCTCTTTATTTCTCATTTGTAATGACAAGAATTTGGTTAGGTTGCTTTGGTTATAGTAATAAAAACAATACTTCTAGTTTAGGTAAAAAAAAAAAAAAAAAAAAAAAAGGAGAATTTATTATAAAAGTATAAGGGTACCTTACCAAAGCCAAGAACAACTGTTAAAAACAGGCTTCAGGTATGGTAACTGGTAATAGAAATCAAATCTTACTAGCTTAAGCAAAAAGGGGAGTTCATAATTAGGATACAAGGGTGCTTTACCAAGCCTAGGCAAGCCCTGTGAAGGGCTAAAAGAAGGGAATGGAACACTTTTCAAAAGCCAGGAATCATTTTCTCCTCATCTCTCATCTCTGCTTTTCACTTTGCAAATGTTCACTGGTCTTTCACTGCAGAATTTTTGTTTTTTTCCTACCCAAATCACAAAGTGGGACAAGGCAGCCCATAGCTCCCCAATGACTAGTCAGACCAAAGATAGAATCTCTAATCTCTAACTGAAATTCCTAGAATAGTTTTAGGATCTTACTAAAATAAGAGATGACTTCCTTCTCTGAGATAGCCAGTAAAACAGAAGTTGTAGAACACTAGGAGACAAAGATTAGTTCCTTTCTTGTTTGTTTGTTGTTTTTTTGTTTAGTGCTCCTTAAAGACCTTGAGCTGAAATAGCCTTACTTAGATTTAGGGGTGGATATAGGGAGATGTTCTCACAAACCATAAATATACTAAGTAGAAATGACCAAGTGCTTCAAAAGAGCGAGGTGTTCTAATCCTTAACATTTCTGCTGGGACAAAAATGATAGGCCTGGAAAATGTTGCTGTCTTATTTGAGACGAGTTTCTCTTCATTTATTGCAATAGGTATGATTTATCTCTTGGGAAGATATGAGTAATTTAAACACAGACGATAGATAATATTATATTTTGTTAATTAATTGTTTTTCCCAAGAGAAAGGAAAAAAAGACTAATTAAATAGAGAGTATTTAGATGAAAGAAAGGAAAAAGATTAATTATATGGTGGGTGTAAGAAATCCCTGAGAAACATAAGTAGAAATTTAGCCAAGGGTCTCTCAGATTAGAGGGGAACTCGGTCTGATTCATCTAGCTTGAGTCAGGTGCCTATGAATATAGCTGCTCCCGTTTTCATCATAGTGGGGGAGGGGGGAGGGGTTACTCTGAAAAACAGACACAGGACAGGAGAAAGAAAATTACGTTTTTTAGAGTCTTCAGATTGTTCCAGGTTCCTTTAGAGAAGAAAAATTATATTGCTTGCCAACATTGGAATATAGTAATATTTGAATGGTAGGTGGTTTATGTATTTAAAATTTGAAAAAGCTGAGGGAGGTATTCTACCTAGGCCTATCCACATTGAAATTAAACTGAAAATATCTAATGTATAAGAAAATGCTGTGAATGTTTTATTAAAAAAATATATCACCCTAGCCAGTGTTGGCTCAGTTGGTTGGGCATCATCCATGCACTGAAGAATTGCCAGTTGGATTTCTGGTCATGGCACATGCCCGGGTTGCAGGCTCTATCCCCAGTGGGGGACTTGCAGGAGGCAGAAGATTGATGTTTTGCTCTCACATCGATGTTTCTGTCTTTTCTCCCTCTCCCTTTAAAAATCAATTTAGAAAACAATAACAGCAACAACAAAAACCTGTCCTGAAGATTTTTAAAGTATTCCTCCTGTATGTTGAAATACATTTGCATTATTTTGTGTTATGTCCTTTGATGAAACACAAGGAGTTAAGTTTAATGTTATTGTTATCACTCTAGTTCCTATAATTTTGTTTTTAGAAATAAGAATCAACAAGGGAAGTAGGACCACTCTACAGTAAAGAAAAAGAAAAGTAATATTAGCATGGACATGTTAAGAGACTCAGCAGCTGGTGATTCAGTTTTAACTTTACTGATTTTAGTGTATACAAAGTTTCGAAAGGAAAGTCATTCAATATTTGTTGAAAGTTTTATATTTCAACCTCTTTCTGAAAATATTTCTTTAATGCTGTCATCTTTTTTGATCATCATAAAGTGTCATATTCAGTACATTCTTCTAATGGAATGGTTGACAAGTAAGAAACTACTTTTTCCATTAGAGGTTCCCTGAGAAAAGGCACTGGAGAGCTCTTTTTCACTAGAGAATCATCAGAAAACCAGTCATCAGCTGCTTCTATAGTTTCGCTGTAATAAGACTCAGATGGTTCTGTTGATAAGCTTAAGGCTACATTGCTGCTATTTGTTGCTGAGCTAGTCTCTGAGGGGTCACAAATGACCTTTTTTGTTGCAAAGCAGAATTCATCTTTAGAGTGATCTTTACTTGCTGTAAAAGAAAATTAGATTTACTATGAATATTGTATATTCGTGAGCCAAATCTTAATTATAAGGACAATGTTTGTGTTAAAAATTTAGAATCTTGCCCTGGCCGGTGTGGCTCAGTGGGTTGGAGCATCATCCCATATACTGAAAGGTTTGATTCCTAGTCAGGGCACATACCTAGGTTGCGGGTTTGATCCCCAGTCTGGGTGCATTCGGGAGACAACCAATTGATGTTCCTCTCTCACATTGATATTCCTCTCTCTCTTTCTCTTTCTCTCCCTTCCACACTCTTTAAAATCAATAAAGGTATCCTTGGGTGAGTATTAAAATAAAAAATTTAGAATGTTTTTAGGATTAAAATAGGATGATGATATAGTAAAAATTCTGAGTTGCTATCATCATATGTACAATGTTAAATATATAAATGGGAATTAGCAATATTTTTATGATAATCAAGAGTAGAAAAGTCTATTCTAAATAAAATCAACCTATAAACAGAAGAAGATTCTAAACAGGCTAGACATCTTGGTTCTGGAATATCCCTGAAAATTAGAAAAGACAGATAGTTTCTTAACTATTTATAACTAAATATTGCCTTATTTTAAAAGTAAATGTTAAAAAATACATGACTCCTTGAATAGGCAGATTAAAAAATGTTTGGTCCATAGTGGAAAGGGCCTGTGAGTTGGCTTTATACCAATAAAAGCAACAACTAACATTCCTATAGTGTCTTACAATTTACAAAGCAGTTTGATAGACACATCTCATTTATCTTTTCAGTAATTCTTTAAGTTAGTTATTATCTGCACCAATTTACAAAAGAGAAGACTGATAATTAGAGAAACAACTCAGTTGTTTAGATGAAATACAAGGTGGACTTCAATCTAGATTTTTGTTACTCCAAGTCTCATGCTTCTCTTATTATATTATTCATGCTGACAGTTAATGTGAAAAAAAAATGTTGTTTTAGAAGAGATCACATTTATACAATATCATAAAACATCTTTTACTACATTTTACATATTAACTTTTGATACTAATCTGTAACATTAATTTTTAAAGCTGTTTTAAATACCTTGTAACTTTATATTCAGTATTTCTAAAATTATGTAGGAGGATGGATGTTTTGAGATACTAAGACATAATATGTACTATCTACAGTAAAGGGTTATAAAACACTCAACTCTTTTGACCCTCTGACATTAATATATGGCAATGATTATGACACCTTTGGTTATAAATAAGGGACAAAAATTAAAATTTCACATTTTAATTTAAGATATAACATTGCAAGTTTTGTTTTCTAAAAAATATATGCCCATTCACATACTAATAAATTAATGATTCCCTTGAATTTTTATGGTTTTTAAAAATACTTAGATAACATTTAGGGTAGGCTCTGGATTTTTTTTAAAGATGTGAATTACTCTAAGTTGATTACAATTTATTTTAATAAATTGTTGAGAACAAGTACCTTTTATATGTGCTGTTTCCTTTTTTCTTTGCTCCTCCTATATAAAAAAGTTATTTGTATTTAAAAAATAGAATAGCTTTAATATAATTTCTTTACTATATTTGACTTATATACTTAAGAATAATATATTTTAACACAAATTTTTTACAGAATAATTTTTTTTCATAATAAGTATTTATTTCACCAAAATATATTGATAGAAAAAAAGTGTTGTGGTATCATCTGAAAACAATGTGAACTGGTTCAAAAAGGCAGTCATCAGGATAGGGAATGAAAAGGTGAAATAGAGTTCAATAGGATTACTTCTCTCCATCCTCATAGTCACTTGGGTAAAACTAGAGAGGGCTAACAAAGTAATTAGAATTCCTAGACTTACTCATTCCATTAACCAATAACAATAACTACAACAAAGTGAATTCTGGTGAAGGCTTTTATAAAAAATGCAACCATTCTTTTGAAGCAAATAAAACATTTGATGAAACAATACATTCCAGGTGTGTTGTAGGAAGTATGGTGGTGTAGTTGTTCTCAAACTTTAGGGCATCAGAATCATTTGGTGTGCTTGTTAAAATGATGATTCTTGGGTATAATATCAAACCCTACTGAAACATATTCTCTGGAAATATGCATTATAACACACCACAACTGGTCTGATTCAGGTTATCCTTCGACCACCAGAAAACAATGAGCTAGTGCACAGGGCGTTAAGAAAGGTGAAGCTGAGGCTGGAGAGAGAACATTGCCTCTCATGTTCTGGGGAAACAGTGTTAGGGCTGATCTGCATTGTCCTGTTCACCCCCCCCCCCCCCCAATAGGCTTGCTTAGAATATACATACACAGTATATATGTGTGTGTGTGATAAGCACTTTTTTACAGCCAACTTTACTTCTTTGTCATATTCACCTTTTGTTAATATAAATGCCAGTATAAGCTGCTGCTCTTACCTTGTCTGAATTTAGGACCAATTCAATTTGTGACTCCTATATAAATTATATTAGAACACTGCTTCTCAGACATCAGTGTGCCTATGTATTATCTTGGGAGCTTGTTAATATGCATATTCTAACCCATTAGATTCTGCATTTCTAACAGGCTCCCAGGTAATACTGATATGGCTGGTCTGGCAACTGCAGAGTAAAACCATAGACTGATTAAAATTCCACCCAAACTAAGGGAATGACAAAATGGGTATTCTTATATATTGCTACATATAACCAGGTAGAATTTTTCCAGAGGGCAACCTAATAAATCTACTTCTAGAAATTAATTATACCAAATAATTAATATTTGTGTGTAAATATTTAGTTAGTAGTATGCTAATCATAGCATTGTTTAACATTTTTAAAACCTGCAATTTAAAATTCTAAGAGTAAGGAAATAGTTAAAGGTATTTTGATACATAGATACTAATATAACGTATATTTTTCCAACTATTAAAAAATGTTGCTATAGTATCCGAAATAAGGACTCCAAACATATGGGGACATATATAAAAAAGGAACAATTCTAAAAGGGTTAAATTTAGGAAAATTTGAACATCAAAATAATGAGCCCTGGCCAGTTTGGCTCAGTGATTAGCAGACCAAAGAGTTGAGAGTTCTATTCCAGTTAAGGGTACCTATCTCAGTTGTGGTTCAATCCCTGGCCCTGGTTTGGGTCATGTGGGAGGCAACCAATCCATGTGTCTCTCTCACATCAATGTCTCTCTCTCTCTCTCCTTCCCTCCTACTCTATCTGAAAATCAATAGAAAAATATCGTCAGGTAAGGATTAAAAAAAAAAAGAAGTGGCCTGGCTGGTTTGGCTCAGAGGTTACAGCACTGGCCTGTGGACCGAGGTCTCGAGTTCGATTCCTAGTCAAGCGCACATACCTGTGTTGCAGGTTTGATCACCAGCCCCGGTGGAGGTTGTATGGGAGGCAACCAATTGATGTCTCTCTCAAATCGATGTTTTTCTGTCTGTCCCTTCCTCCCTTCCACTCTATGTAGAAAGCAATGGAAAAATATCCTTGGGTGAAGATTAAAAAAAATTATAGTAATGGATTATGATCTGCTAAATAAAATAGAAATCCATGAGTTTATATTGATAATAAATAAATAAAATAAGAAAGAGATAAGAGCATCTTCCTCACAGTAGAAGCCAAATGATAAATGTAAATGGGAATGGTAGAATTGGAAAAATCATTTTGCTATAGTTTTGTAAAGACTGGCTGGCTCAGGCAAGAATAATTTCTATAGGTAATTAATAGAGTTTGATGAAAAGAAGGATATTTACATTCAAATTTTCACCACAGGTTGTTTATTAATTGCTAGGGTAAAAATAGGAATAATACATTATGGGGAAGAACAGACATCATCTTTGTGATTAACTGAAATCACTAGTGAAGAGCAGATGAACACTGTATTCCTCCAGATGTGATAAATAATGTAATCACAAGTAAAAGCCAAACTGAACGGTCCATGATCTATATAATAACTGCCTATATTCTTTTTAAAAAATGTCAACATCATGAAAAATTAATAAGGGAACATTTAAAATGTTTTGAACTGAATAATGATAAAAAATAAATAAAAATTTGTGGGATGTAGCAAAAGTAGTGCATAGAGGGAATCTGAATCTTAAATGTGTATGTTAGAAAAGAAAAAGTCTAAGAATAATCAAATTGAAAACTAGCAATCGCATTAAAGAAAAGAGAAATATAATCAGAAATAAAGAGTGCCATCACTAAAGATTCTACAGATATTAGAAGGATAATAAGAAGATGCTATTAAAAACTTTATGTCAATAAACTGAACAAAAAAAAAATGGAAACACCTTCCATTCATTTTGTGAATAACTGATATTAATATCTAACAAAGATATTACAAGATAAGAAAATTACAGAATAATATCCCTTGTGAACATAGATGCAAATATTCTTTAAAATATATTAGCAAACCAAATTCAATAAGGTTTATTCTAGGAATATGGGTCGGTTTAACATTCGAAATTCAGTGTAATCCACATTAACAAAATAAAAATAAAAAACCCATGTGAACAACTTCAAAAGATGCAAAAATCAGCATTCCTTACTGATTTTTTAAAAAGGCTTTTAGTAAACTAAAAATAGAAGGGAAATTCCTCAATTTAACAATACAAATCTATAAGAATCCCATAGCTAACTAACTTTCTACTTAATGGTGAGGAGCTAAATGTACTTTCTCTAAGATTAGGAATATAAAAAAGATATCTGCTCTCAACACTTCTATTCATATTTATACTAGAAGTCCTACCCAATGGAATAAGATGAGAAAATAAGCCCTGTCCAGTTTGGCTCAGTGGTTAGAGCTTTGGCCTGTGGTCCAGAGAGACCAGGTTTGGTTCCCGCTAAGGGCATGTACCTCGGTTGCAGTTTGTCCCTGGCCCTGGTTTGGTCGTGCAGGTGGCAACCACTCGATGTGTCCCTTTCATGTCGATGTTTCTCTCTCTCTCTCCCTCCCCACTCTATCTGAACAAAAAATGGAAGTGTCCTCGGGTGAGGATAAAAAAAAAAAAAAAAAGAGAAAATAAAAGATTGGAATAAAAAAGTAAAACTGATGTGTTTTGCAGATGACATGATTGTGTATGAAGAAACTCTTATAGAGTCCCCAAAATAAACTACTAGAAGTAATAAATAACTTGATTTATAAAGGTCACAGAACACAGGTCAATATAAACACAGGTCAGTTGTGGTAAAATCGGCAATTCACTAAACACTCATCTATAAACTGAATGAATTCCCATTATGATCTCGACAAGAGGTTTTGTAGGTAGATATAAGTTTATTTTATGATTTTATATGACAGGCAAAAGAACAAGAATAGCTACAACAATGCTGAAGAAGAATTAAGTTAGAGGAAACATGCTGCTCAATTTCATGACCTACTATACAGCTAGAGTGTGGTATTGGCGGACAAAGACATACAAATCAATGTTGCAGATAGAAAATCCAGAAATAGACCCACACATATATGCCCAACAGATTTTTGACAATCGTTGTGAAAGCAATTAAATGGAAAGACAGCTTTTTCAATAACAGTACTGAAACACTTAGACACCAATAGCCCCCAAAATGAACTTTGATCTAAACCTCATGCTTCATATAAAAATTAATTAAAAATGGCCCTGGCTGGTTTGGCTCAGCAGTTAGAGCACTGGCCTGTGGTCCAGAGAGACCCGGGTTCAGTTCCTGCTAAGGGCACGTACCTCGGTTGCAGTTTGTCCCCGGCCCTGGTTGGGTTGTGCGGGTGGCAGCCACTCGATGTGTCCCTTTCACATCGATGTTTCCCTCTCTCTCTCCCTCCCACTCTATCTGAACAAAAAATGGAAAAATGTCCTCAGGTGAGGATTAAAAAATAATAATAATTAATTCAAAATGGATCAAAGATAGAAATATAAAAGGTTAAACTATTATAGCCAAAATAATCTCGCCCTGGCCGGTTTGGCTCAGCGGTTAGAGCGTTGGCCTGCAGTCCGGAGAGACCCGGGTTCGGTTCCCGCTAAGGGCACGTACCTTGGTTGCAGTTTGTTCCCGGCCCTGGTTGGGTCGTGTGGGTGGCAACCACTCGATGTGTCGCTTTCACGTCGATGTTTCTCTCTCTCTCTCTCTCCCTCTCACTCTATCTGAACAAAAAATGGAAAAATGTCCTCAGGTGAGGATTAAAAAATAATAATAATTAATTCAAAATGGATCAAAGATAGAAATATAAAAGGTTAAACTATTATAGCCAAAATAATCTCGCCCTGGCCGGTTTGGCTCAGCGGTTAGAGCGTTGGCCTGCAGTCCGGAGAGACCCGGGTTCGGTTCCCGCTAAGGGCACGTACCTTGGTTGCAGTTTGTTCCCGGCCCTGGTTGGGTCGTGTGGGTGGCAACCACTCGATGTGTCGCTTTCACGTCGATGTTTCTCTCTCTCTCTCTCTCCCTCTCACTCTATCTGAACAAAATATCGAAAAATGTCCTCGGGTGAGGATAAAAAAAAAAAAAAAAACGAAAAAAAAAAAAAATCTCTAAAAAGAACAA